GCCACCCTCAGTGATACATCCTCCAACAAGGCTACTCCTACACTAACAAGACCACACCTCCTAATTCTTTCAATATAGTGCCACTCCATGGTGGCCAAGCATTCAAGTGCATGAGCCTATGGTGGCCATTTTTATTCAAATTACCACACAGTGAAAGTCTGTTAAGTGCTTTAAAGACCCTGGGAGAACTAGGGGAAAAAATTAGGTCCAGTGACACCCTGAATAATGTCTTAGTACCAGTGAGAACCTGGGCAAAGACTTAAGTCCCAGTGAGAACATGGGGAAGTCCTTGGAACCTGGGAAGTTCTTAGGCCTCACTGAGACTTTGGGGAAGGCCTTAGGTCCCAGTGAGAACCTTGATAAAGCTTTAAGCATGAGTGAGAATATATAGAAACTTTTAGAACAAGTGAGAATATTTAGAGGATCTAGAGATGCAGTGAAAATAGTTAAAGGTCTTATTGACCCTGTAAGAATTTGGGAAACGTTTTAGGTATCAGTGAGAGCCTGGGGCCTTAGGCTCTTGAGACCCTGGGCAAGATTCTAGAATCCTCAAGATGTTACTCCCCTGGGAAGGCCCAGGTGAGATACTGAGGAAGGCTTTAGCTACAAATAATATTTGAAGAAGCCTTTCTGCCTCTGTGAGAAGGAGGGAAAATTTTATGTTCCCTTTAGATGTTATGTTCCATTGGGAGGCCTTAAGCACCAGTCAAGTCAGGAAGACCCTGGGGATGCCCCTTAAGTTCCAGAAAGACCCTACTGAATGCCTTAGGTCCCCAGAGAGTTCATAGAAAGATCTTGAGTCCAGTGAGACCCTGGGAAGTCCTTATACCTTATTGAAACCCTGAGATGTTCTTAAGCTCAAATCAAACTTTGAAAAAGACCTTAGGTCCCAGTGAGTCCCTAGGGAAAGTATAAGACAAGTTTGAATCCTGGAGACAGCTTTACGTACCACTGAGACCCTGGGGGAAGACTTGGGATCCCAGTGAGAATCTGGGGAAGATCTCAGGCCCCAGTCTGAAACTCCTGTGAGAACCTAGGGAAATTCTGCTACCCAGTAAGTGCCAAGAGAATTGCTTAGGTCCCAGTCGGAACCTGGGAACACCTTAGGTCACCTGATGTAAGACCTAAGTCCTCAGTGATAGTTTAGAGTCTGGGGTCTTACACCCCGGAGAAGTTCTCTGTCCCCATTACAGCCCTTGCAGGACTGTAGGCTCCTGAGAGAACTTGGGTAAGGCCTGTGCCCCAGTGAGACACTGGGAAGGCCTTATGCTACAGAGACCCAAGGGAAGCCTTTGGACTTCGTGAGACCCTGCTCAGATATTAGACCCCGGTTAGACCCTGGTGATAATATTTGGCCACAGTGAGACCCTGGGGTAAGCCTTTGGCTACAATAAGGCCCTAAGAAAAGAGCGCAGAGAAAATCTTAGGCCCCATTAAGACCCTGGTAAAGCCTGGTCCCGATGAGTCTCTGTGAAAGGTCTTAGGTTTTTATGGGACATGAAGAAGTTCTTGGGCTCCCATTCAGACACTGGACAGAACTTAGGCCCTGGTAAGTCCATCTCTAGGTTTTAGGCCTAAGTGATACCTTTGGAAAGGCTTTGGGCCCTTAACAAGTACTGATATCTGAGCTTAACAAGATGACTCAGCTTGTAAAGGTGTTTGCTTCTAAGCCTGATGACCTGCGCTTATCCCAAGACTCATTTTGTGAAAAGAGGAACTTGTGCCCCGTGGATTGCCATCTGATGCCTACATTTGGAAGTAACCAAACAAACCGATTAATTAGTTAGAACATAGAGGTAAAAGAAGAGCTGAGACTTCAAGTCTGAGTTTCGCTGAGGCCATGGGACCTTGGGCCATGAAATCTATTGAGACCCTGGTGAAGGCTTCTAGCCCACAGATACTCTGGAGAAAGCCTTCTCCCCTACTGAGACACTTGAGTAGTGTTTGAGTACCGCTGAGACTCCAGAAAATTCTCGTGTTCCACTGAGGCCTTAGAAAAACGTTGCTAGGCTTCTGAGACCCTAAGGAGGGAGGAGAGCACCTTTAGGACACTGTAGGAGGGCCTTAGGCCTCAGAAATTCTTGAAAAGTCCATGAACCCCACTGAAACCTGGAGAAGAGCATAGAACAATGTTAAATTTTGAGCAAGGCCTTCAATCCTTTGTGATCCCAAGGAAGACTGACTTTCCCGAGCTCCTAGGGAAGTCTTTAACCCCACTGAGGTGGCAAGGCTTTAGTTCCTTCAGGGCCCTGGAAAAGTCTGACTCACAACACGCTAGCGGGAATTTGGAAAGAGCCATGAACCCTACTGAGTGCAGAAGATGGGGTCTTCATTAAGAATCTGGGACCCCGGGGCAGAGAATAAGACCGTTTAGAACCTGGAACTGTGTTGCAACCCTACTGGAAGCAATGTACCCCACTGAGATCCCTGGTGGGTTCTCTGTTCCTTTGAGACCTTAGGAGAAGCTGTGGGTGCCACTGCAGCCATGAAGTAGGTCTTGGGACCCACTGAGTCCCTTTTGTGATGGTTTGAGTGTGAAGCTCCCCCCCACACACACACACACGCTCACATGTTTGAACATTTGGTCTCCATCATGCAGTACTGTTCCTGAAGATTGTGAAACAAGGGTCCTAGCTGATAGACACAGGGTCATAAGAGTGAGCCTTAGGGTCACAGGCCTGGCTGGTATCCAGTCTGACCTCGCCTCCTGACCAGTGCCTCTGCAAGCTCCTGCTGCCACAATCAGACCAACTACAGCCACCATGCCTTCTGTTCCATGATGGGCCATGTCCCCGCAAATCCTGAGCTGAAATAAACTCCTCCTTCCCAAAGTTGCTTCTTTAGGGGATTCATTCTACAGGGATATGAAAGGAACTAATGCAGGGAGTCAATGAATTAGATTCTTTTCACATGTTGGGAAGCCAGTGAAGCCCAATGAAGACCTCAGAGAAGGCCTTACGTCCCCTCGTGGCCCTCAGGAATATCCTGACAATATGAGACAATATGAGCCCCACTGAGTCCCCAAGCAGACGGGGCTTCACTAACACCTGGAGAAAACCTAAGCCCCTTTAGTACCCTGGGGAAGGCTGTGAGGATTTGAAATAGCCACAGTAATGTAGGACCATGGTGCTTATTAAGACTCTGAGGAAGGCGGCTGTGAGCTTCAGAAATGTCTAGAGAAGGTCTTAGCACCACCGAGAAACTGGGGCTGTCTCTGGGTGTCATTGTCCTTAAGGATGCTCGATAACCTCACAGAGACTTGAGGAAGGCGTTTGTTCTGTTGATACTCTAGGGAAGGCCCAGAGCCACACTGACACCTTCACAGGGAGTGGATGCTGAACCATGTGAGACCCTAAGGAAGGCTTCAAGTCACAGGGAAACCCTGAACTAGGCTATGAACCCTGCCACAACCTTGGGGTGGTGAAAGCCCATTGCAGTGTTGGCATGTTCATGAGCTCCTTTGAGACTCAAGTCAGGTACGATCCCCATGGAAACCCTGGAGAGATTTGAGCACCTATGATGGGCCTGTGGAGGGCTTAAAGCCCTGCAAGCATGCTCAGGGTTGTCCCTGTGTGTCACTGAACCCCAGAAAGGGTTTAAATGTTACAGAAAAACCAAGCCTTTATAAAGTTCCAAGGAGAGCCAGAAGAGGTGATACATACCTGAGTATCAGAACTTGGGAGGATGAGACAAGAAGGTTGTGAGTTTAAGATAAGCCTAGCTATACCACAGGACTCTTTTGCCAAAAGAAAATTCTCCTTGGGAAGTTGGAGCCCCAGTGAGACCCTCAACAAGGCTCTCTAGCCTCTCTATGGTCCTGACGACACCCCTCCCCCACTGCCCCAGCCCTGTCCTTGTTTGCACTCCTCTTGAGGTACCCACATATCCCCTGCTCCAGTGGGTCCACTGGAGTATCCCAGATACCCAGAGTATGAATGGCTGCAGCACTTCTCGGGGGACAGGGAGCAGGGAGTAAGGGGCCCACAGCTCTAGTCTAGTGGCTATAAAGCCCTGCATAAGGTAGAGTCTAGCTCATGCGGCTATACCAAAGTTTTTTGTTGGTTGGCCGGGAAACAGGACAGTCCCAAATCAGGGACAGGAGGGGTCAAGGAACCCCCAACCACTCCAAGTGGAGTCTGAGAAGGGTTTTGTAGCTGGGGTAGAGCCTGCACTAAGAGATCGAGGCAGAGACTCTGAGTTCTGAAGCATGTTCTCTGATGGCGACCTGCTGGCCTTCGGGTGCTTGTCTTGGGGTATTAGGATAGGAAGGTGTACCACAGGCCTTCAGTCCAGCTAACCCCTGAGTGGTCTATGGTTGTGAAAGCAGAGACAGAGGGGAAGGGACCAACAAGCATCTTGCTGCCTGAATTCTGCTTTCTTCCTACCTCTGAGGATGAGCAGAGGTTCTCAGCTGAGCTAAGGACCTGGCTACCAATGGGGACTGTGAAACAGTCCAAAGGACAGAGATGCCAGGCCCCCAACAGCTCCAGCACCCTGGGGAAATGATGTGGAAATTGCTCAGTCAAGGCCAAAGAAGGCCTAAATCTAGCTGGGGCAATGCCCCCTGCTGTGAAGTGGATCATTAGGCCACCCTGCCCCTTGTTAAGACTCTAATTACCCTAGGGCTAAGTAGAGGTGTTGACGTCCAAGGAGAACTTTCTGCAGACCCAGCACCAGGAAAGTGTTCGGAAACTGCAGCTTCAGCCCCTCTGGCCATCTGCTGAGCCACCCCAGGGAGACCTTAATGGGCTGAACACCAGAGTCCAGGGGGCAGAGGGGAGGCGCTTTCAACTATAAAACTAGTGGGGACCCAGTAGCCCCCAGTCCTACTTGACCAGCTACAATCAGAGGCCATCAGCAAGCAGGTACGTACTCTTCTTATTTGACCTGACTCCACAGCCAAGACTCCCAGTACGTAAAGGAAGATGTGTTGGACTCCTCTCTTTGATGCGCCTTTTGCTAGTCTCAACCCTGCCTATCTTCCAGGTCATTGTCCCATCATGGCCCTGTGGATGCGCCTTCTGCCCCTGCTGGCCCTGCTGGTCCTCTGGGAGCCCAACCCTGCCCAGGCTTTTGTCAACCAGCACCTTTGTGGTTCCCACCTTGTGGAGGCGCTCTACCTGGTATGCGGGGAGCGTGGCTTCTTCTACACACCCAAGTCACGACGTGGAGTAGAGGACCCACAAGGTGAGCTCTGCTCCTAAATTCTGTCCCCAGTGCTTATCACCCTGGTTTTCTTTACCCTCAAGACCTCACAGATTGTGTCCTGGGTGTAGAGGGTCTCAGGGTAACTGGGAGGGGGAATGTGGGGTCTCAGGGTAACTGGGGGAAAGGTGGGCGCACACTTCCATGGGCAGCTGGACATAGGTAAATACGGCAGCTGCCAGGAATAAATGAGGATCCTGCCTTAAGGCTCCTAGGTTCTGGAGACATATGAGTAGGCCCTGGGATAGGCACCTATTTTGGGCCCCCATAAAGCACTTCACTGATTGGGGGATGGTGGCAGGGTGTGTAGCCTTTGGAGCTCCTTGCATCCATGCCCAGTGACTTGTCCCACATACATGCAATCCCTGCCACCTACACTGACTTAGCAGGGGCCAGGGTGAGAGAAAGCCTGGGGTAGGCAGGGGGCTGCTCCGCTGCTCCTAACTGGATTGTCCTGTGCTTCTTTGTTTCTGTGCTGCTGATGCTCCGGCCTGCCCTGGCAGAGGCACAACTGGGGCTGGGTGGGGGCCCCGGAGCAGGCGACCTCCAGACCTTGGCACTAGAGGTCGCCCAGCAGAAGCGCGGCATTGTGGATCAGTGCTGCACCAGCATCTGCTCGCTCTACCAGCTGGAGAACTACTGCAACTAGGCCCCGCCACCACCCAGCCTGCTTCCTCACCTTCCTGCAATGAATAAAACCTCTGAAGGAGCATTATAAGTTGTGTGTGTGTGTGTGTGTGTGTGTGTGTGTGTGTGTGTGTGTGTGTGTAGGATGTGAGCGGGGATGTCTGGGGTGGCCCCAGCTTCACCTGCCTGGTCATGATGGCTCCTAAAGGATCTCCCCAAGACTCTCTCTTCTGAGCTTTCTGCACTTCCAGTTTCCTCTTGGCTCCCTGGGCAACCACAGGTGTCCACTGGAACATAGACAATTCCCTCCCCAAAGTGGTCAACACTTTCAGGTAACCTATAGCCCTTACCCTGAGCTGTCCTGGCTGAATAGAGAAGATCTAGGCGTCTTTAGATAGCACAGATGGCAGCTAAGAACTGGTGCTTCATTGCCTCGTCGCCCTGGAACTTCAAGGGCCCCAGAAAACTTTTTAAAGAAAGGGGGCCAGAATATTCTAACAAAAGCTTCTAGCTAACTTTCCTGAGTTCTGTTTCCAGAGCTATTTTAGATGGAGTCCCCGAAGGACCAGAAACTGGGCTTGGGAACGTACGGCTATGGAAACCTTTCTCACGGTGCTTAGTTCTCTGACAAAGAACATTCCCCAGCCCCTCTCAGGCTCTCCAAGCCACCCTTAGTGCTCTGGACAGGAGAGGTATTCCACAGGGATGAAAGGACATACTGAAGGATTCCCTCAGCACTGGGCATGAGCCTCAGAACCCCAGGGCTCAGGAGTGACCCAGTAGTGAGTTCTAGGCAATGTGGGCCATGAGGGAACCAGATGATACAAGGCCTAGGCCTGGGATCTCCTGTCACTTCTCAGCCTCTAAGTAGGGTCTCTCACCAGATTCCTTGAACCTGACTGTTTAGCAATTCCTCTAGGAAAATCTTTGGTCCTAAGGAAAGGCCACATAACATCTAGGTCTTTGGGGAAATCTCAACACAAAGCATATCTCTCTCTCTCTCTCCAGCACCCACTGAACACAGATTGGGTGGCACCTGTCAGGCAGAGGAGAACTTAGTGACCCTGGTCACCCCAAGGGCTGGCTGACCTACCAGCTACCCTAGCCAAACCAATCTGTGTCACCCTGAGAGCTGGACCCAGGGCCAGAGTAACAGGGCTCTGAGCTAGACATGGAACTTTCTTGCTGAAACTCTTAGAGCATCCCTGAGGACCCCTTCCCAGTCACCTCCTCTTTGTGACAATACCACACCCTTACCTAGAGAAATGTCATAGCCCCCTTGCAAGCCCTGCCCCTGAAAAAGAGGCCATAACTGAATGGGAGGGTGGTTGGCTGGACACTGAGCCTGGAAGAGGAGAGAGGGAGGTGGCTGTGATCCTTCTAGGAGAGCACCCCAGCAGTCAGTTAGCACAGTCTGAGATGGACACCCTGCTGGAGTGGAGGTATGTGAGTCTCTGCAGAGCAAGAGCAGACGCAGAAACTAGGAAGTAGACTGGTTGGGAGGGGGAATCTCTTGAGCATCCAGAAAGCAATTGGCCATGGCTGCCTGGGCCTTAGGTGGATGGACAGATGTGGCACCCCACCATTCAGGTGCTACAACTCTCTAGAGCATATGAGTCAGGGACGACAGGAACAAGAATCTTAGGGTCCTTGGACCTGTGGGACAAGCCCAGCTTTGCCCAATACGCAGGAGACTCTTGCTATGGGTTCTGGGAGTTCAGAGGTATGGCCCAGATATCAGAATTCCTGTCTTTGGCTTCACTCCTGGGGCCTTTGACCAGGCCTCAAGGGAGAGGCAGGTTGCCCCCAAAACTCTTAACCTTCCCAGGCTGAGGCAACCCTCACCTTCCTGGTTTCCTGGGGTCTCCTGAAACTTTGGTTTGGGGCTCTTCTTCTTGGCCTTGAAGGGGAGAAGAGGCAGAATACTAGAGACAGGTGTGTGCTGCCTCTCAATCCCTCCAGGGGACAAGAAGCAGTCACCCAAAGTGGCCCAGTGCCCAGGGAGCGGAGGTTGGATCAGACTCGGCCTTTGATTGGCACCACACTGAGTGCTAACCCCAGAGATGCCAGCGGAGGACTTTGGAGGTTTCCATAAGCCCCTGGGTTGCCCCATGTAGGTCAGTCATAGACCTGCCTCAGGTGCTCCTGCTGACCTTGCCTCACTCAGCCCCTTCCAGGCACACAACAGCCTGAAGCACAGAGGCTCCTGCCTGCCCTCGGAACCAGGACTCCCCTTGTCACAGAACTCGCCACAATAAACATTTTCTTCAAGCTATGCCTGTCACTTTGGTGTTGGAACTGGGGCTGTATGGGGACCTGCTCCCTAACAACCCCCAACCTTGCTGGGGCCCCTCATCACCTCTGCCTACCATCTGGGAGCCCAGAATCTTTTAGGGTATTATCAAGGACAGCCATTGTACCCGTGTTGTACTCTTGCCTGGTCTAATGAGGTGGTTTGGCTCCATGTATGTGGGATGGAGGGACTCAAACCAATGTTACACACAGGGTGGCTGAGGCCTGGAGCCAGGGCAGCCACTCTTCTGCTGTGCACTCACAATACAGGTCTGTCTCCAGGCACCTCAAAGGGTCTGCCGATGTAGCTGCCTTCAGGTTGGCTCCACAAGATCACATTGTCTCCTGGCACAGATGACCTGGCACCTCAGCCCAGCCCCAGGGACTGTCTTTGCCTTCTTATGTTATCAATAAATGTTTACTGTGATCATGTTCTCCAGGCCTAAAAGAGACCCTGAGTGACATGAAATGTGGGTTCAGGGATGCTGAGGTTCACTTTTGCCCTCTGAGGTCTTTATGCCCAGCAAGGTTCTGAACCAAGGGCTGGGAAGCACCACAGAACCAGGTTGCTCTTAAGTCAGCCTGCCCAGAAAAGTTGCCACTAGGCAGCCCCAAACACTGGCTTGTGGGTCTCTGGCCTAATTGTGAGTGGAGGAGACCCCTGAGGAGTCTTCCCACAGACTCAAATCGGGTGTCCCTCAGTGTTTTGAGGTAGACGTTTGTGAATTCTGGACAATATAGTCAGAAATGGCTAGTTATAGAAGTGTCCAACAGAGGGCACCAGAGCCTTGCTTTTGAGGCGATCCAAGTCCAAAGGCCCTACCATAAGCCCTTCTAGTGACTGCACTTTCTCCCTTTGCTCCCTTCACTCACAGGGACAAAGGGGTTTCCCAAGGGACTGGCTGCTCTGGACTCTGGAGGGTAGGAGGCTTGAGAAGCAGAGAAGGTGTCTGATCATGCTGGGTGTGGCCTTTGGGGTCTAGGCTTCCTAGACGCCCATGGAGCAGATGAACAAATGCCCAGGTAGGTGTCTGCAGTATTCCTAGACTGTCTTAGGCTAGAGTTGTCTATTGCCTGCCTAGAATTACAGCTGCCGAGAGGAGAGTGTGGGGGTAATCCATGCAACTTCTCACATAACGGCTAAGCAAACAGGCCAGGGGTGCAGACTAACTGTTTCCGGTTAGGACCTTGGTGATAGTTCTCCAAAGCCCTAGGGGGCACTGAGAAGTGCCCCAGTGGCCAGAAGAGCCAGAGGTCTGTCCCTTGCTCTTCTTGGAGTTTTCTTAGGTGCATGAGCTGGAAGGCCAAACCCTGGTTTGCACATGAAGTTGGGTCTATGGGGACCCCAGGGTGCAGGATGCCTCATGCAGAGCCCATCTGGGATGGGGTCAACCCTTTCCCACGTCTACCTTCCGCCCAGTGCTGAGAGGAAGGGAAGGTCCATTTTGAAAAGAATGCCGGGGGTGGCGTGGCCAGGGGTCTGAGAGCTGAAGAGCAGCCTGGATTCAGTGTCATTCCTCCCCCCCCCCCCACTATTGTTTCTGGCCTGGCCACAGAACAGCCAGGCAGATTCCTTCGAAAGTGAAGCTGTGGAGGCGGCTCCGTGTGGTCCAGTCGTGCTGTGCTGGCGCCAAGTCACCCAGTGGCCTTGAGCCAGTCCACTTGGAGTCACTGGCTCACTGCCTGGCCCCCAGGTAGCCCACCCTCTACCCCCACACACACACACATACACACACCTTGGTACAAACACCTCACCTGCCACCCTTCTGGTGTGGGTAGCCAGAACCCTGCCGCTGAGCTGCAGACCCCTGAGGCTGACTCTTGAATCTGGGCCTGGACTAAGACATGGGGTTACCAACAAGCCTCTGACTCCAAGGAGGACCTAAACCAGGGCTCCTCAGCCTGAGAGCTGTCACACTGTTGTAACATCCATCCTGTGCTTCATCCATATGTTCAAAGTGACTAGATCCAGATTCAGGGTCAAGGTTACTGACTCGGGTTGGCTGGGCCAGTCAAGTCCCAAAGGCCATGTGTGACTCCCATCTGTGGACTATTTCCCAGATAGACCTTGTACTTTGTCAGTGGCAGAAGTAAGTCTTAAAGTTGCCAAACCTAGACGTCCACAGACCCTTGTGTTTCCATCAGGACTCATTCCCCGCAATCCTGAGGAGCCTTTAGAATCCTACAGCTGACAATGACCCACATTCCACCAGGACCTCCCTCTGACTCTCCCAGCCCATCTGTGTTTGTGGACAACAGAGTAGGAGCTCTCAGCCCTGCCAGCTTGTGGCTGTTCATGCTGAGGCCCTGGCACTCCCCCTCTGCTCTTCAAAGGCCACTGTGGCTTCAGAACTGAGTCCTGCTCCAGCTGGGTCTCTAGTCTCCTGTCCATCCCTAAGACCCACTGTGACCTGGGCTGCTGGGGACCTGGAAGATTCTTCGTAGCATCTCTGGGACACAGGTCCTCAACATGGGTGAGCAACATCTGGGAACTCAGAAGTAGTGAGAACAGGCCTGGGGACCAGGGGGACACTGAGGCACTCAAATATGTGCTCTGCTGATTGCTTCTCCAGGTCTGACTTCTGAGGACCAAGAACAACTTGAGTTGGCAGAGCTAGGGAACTGGCAGAAGGTGAAATGCCTCCACCTGGACCCAGATATAGAAAAGGAGATGGGAAGGGTGGCTGAATTTGGAAGAAGAGCAGACAGAGAGTCAGCAAGGGGAAGATC